AGTGGACAGCCCAGACGCGTCTGGGCTGTCCGCTGCCCGCGTGTTCCGCCGCTTTGCTTCCTCTCCCTGGTCTGCTGGAGACCAGGGAGAGGGAGGGCCCCGTTCGTAACTGCGGATCCGACATAAGTCGGATCCGCGTAACTCGGGGACTGTCTGTACTGTCCTTACAAAGCCTAACAGGTCAACTGTAGAAACTGAAAGCACAATCAACCACATTACAAAAAGCCTGTGCAGTTTACCAAATGCATGAGTAAAGCAAAATAGCTAGCCAGAGAACAGCTTGTAAAAAGTAGTCTGTATTAGCTAAAACCGATTATCTTCTCCAGGAGTCTAAGGGCACGTTTTCACCGCAAGCTTATTTTGGAATAAGCTATTCCGGAAGATATCTTCTGGAATAGTTTATTCCAAAATAGCGCGTCTACATACAAAAAGTGCATCGAAATAGCAATTTGCTATTTTGACACAGAGTGTCCACACTGATTGGATGCTATCTTGTATTTAAGGCCACCAGGAACGAGTTCAGGCAGGGCATTAGGTCAGGAGTGACTTCCTGGAGCTGCTGCCTGAGGCTATCTGAGATGCAAGCTTAAAGGGACACCCCTGTACAGCTGTTTCTCAGGTTCTTCTCCTGCTTGCCTACCTCTCTGAGGGACAGCAAAGCATTTCCACTGTGTGCTTTGGTTGCCCTGTGTTTGGACACCACTCCCTACTATGGAGCTGGAGCTGCCTTTGAGCACGGGACGGCCCCTGACTGTCATGCTGCAGTTTCTGCAGCAGTTGTTGCAAGCTGCCCTCCAGGCCCTGCAGAAACCCAACCTTGAATTGCTTGAGGAGACCCTCAACATGTGTCTTGCAGCTCTTTCAGCTGCATCCCACTGTAGAGCACCCTTTCCGGCGGCTGGACACCAGTGCCAAGTGGTGGGACCTGCTCATCATGGAGTGATGGGACAACCAGCAGTGGCTCCAGAACTTCCTTATGAGGAAGGAGACGTTCCTGGAGCTGCGTGCCTGGCTCACCCTTGCCCTCATACGATGGGACATCCAGATGAGACCTGCCATCCCCCCGGAAAAGCAGGTAACCCTCATGATTTGGAAGTTTGCCAAGCTCGACAGTTACTGATCCATGAGGAACCAGTTTGGCGTGGGGAAGTCGACCGTCAGGGCCCTCATCATGTGGGTATGGCACTTTGAGGTTGCAATCCAAGGAGGGGAGGGGAAGCACTGGAAAGGGGGACCCTAGGCAGGAGCGGTCCGAGGCCGGCTGCAGCAGCTGGTGCCCTAGGCGGGGCGGCACAATCGGTGCTCCTGCATGCACGGCCGTCAATGACCGTGACGTCGCCCAGCTCGCCTAGGCTCACGGGCCACCCCTGATCCAAGGAAAATCAGGGGTTGGGGATGTGGGGGGTGGGAGAAAAGCCCACGTCCCCAGCTGGTTCTCCAGTCCCATCCTCACACAGCCCTGCTGGGGGGGTAAGCTTCATAGGGGGCAGCTCCTGGGGTGTTTTGGGGGAAGGGCTTGAGGACCTCCCAAGGGCTCTGGCACCCCTTAGATTCTCTGGTTTGTTTGTCTCATTCTGCAGGTGGTGAGGGTCATTAACATGGTCCTACTGTGCAAGGTCATCCACCTCGGTGATGTGGACCCCATCATTGCCAGCTTTGCCACCATGGGTTTCTCCAACTGCAGGGAGCGGCTACTGACAGTACCCATATCCCCATCTCGGCCCCCAACTACCAGGCATCTCAGCACATCAACCAAAAGAGATACTTTTGGATGGTCCTGCAGGCCCTGGTCGACCACTGTGGCCAGTTTACAGAAATCTTTGTTGGCCAGTCGGGGAAGGCACCCGTGTCTTCAGAAACTCTAGTGGTGCCCTAGGCGGGGCGGCACAATCGGTGCTCCTGCATGCACGGCCGTCAATGACCGTGACGTCATCATCAGGTGCCCAGGCCAGCGGCGCCCTAGGCACCGGCCCAGCTCGCCTAGGCTCACGGGCCACCCCTGATCCAAGGAAAATCAGGGGTTGGGGATGTGGGGGGTGGGAGAAAAGCCCACGTCCCCAGCTGGTTCTCCAGTCCCATCCTCACACAGCCCTGCTGGGGGGGTAAGCTTCATAGGGGGCAGCTCCTGGGGTGTTTTGGGGGAAGGGCTTGAGGACCTCCCAAGGGCTCTGGCACCCCTTAGATTCTCTGGTTTGTTTGTCTCATTCTGCAGGTGGTGAGGGTCATTAACATGGTCCTACTGTGCAAGGTCATCCACCTCGGTGATGTGGACCCCATCATTGCCAGCTTTGCCACCATGGGTTTCTCCAACTGCAGGGAGCGGCTACTGACAGTACCCATATCCCCATCTCGGCCCCCAACTACCAGGCATCTCAGCACATCAACCAAAAGAGATACTTTTGGATGGTCCTGCAGGCCCTGGTCGACCACTGTGGCCAGTTTACAGAAATCTTTGTTGGCCAGTCGGGGAAGGCACCCGTGTCTTCAGAAACTCTAGTCTCTTCCAGAAGCTGGAGGCCAGCACTTTCTTCCCCGAGGGCAGCATCAGGGTCGGGGACATGGACATGCCACTGTGCATCATGGGGAACGCGGCCTACCCTCTCATGCCATGGCTAATGAAGCCCTACACTGGCCACCTTGACCCCAGCCAGGACCGCTTCAATGGCCACCTGGGCAGGGCCCACAGGAAAGTAGAGTGAGCCTTCAGGTGTCTCAAGGCCCGGTTCAGATGCCTCCTGACCTGTCTGAATGTGGGGGAGCAGAACATCCCCCAGGTGGTGTCCACGTATTGTGTGCTTCACAACATAATGTTGAGTCCTCCACAACATTGTGCAGAGGAAGTGGGAGGCCTTCCTCCTGGGGTGAGGGGCAGGCAGAAGCCTGCTGTGAGGGAAGACCCTTCACACAACCGTGGACTGCTGCCCTCCACCAGACACCTCAGGCTGGAGTGCGCATCCAGGAGGCCCCGAGGGAGAGTTTCTCACAAGGACCCCAGTGACACTCTCCCCAGGGCCTCCCCACTAGGGGCCTGTGCCTTGACCCTCTCTCCCTTTCCAACAACAACCCCTCCCTCCCCCCCTCCCCCCGCAGACCAAAAAAACTGGTTGAAAAAAAAACATGTGTGGTGATTTATTTGGGGTAGAAGTAACTGGGAAGGGAGCAGAGAGAGAACCTTGGAAGGGGAGGAGAAGGGATGAGAACCTTGGAGGGGGAGGAGAAGTTCAGGGCTGGGGCTGGGAGTGGCATGTAGCTCAGGTGCTTCTCTGCCTCGTGTGTGGGAACCTCAGTGACCTCAGGGGTTGGAGGTGACGACAGGCATCTCCAGCCCCGAGTCCACCAGCAGGAGTGGAGAAGAGGCTGCACCGCCCTCCCCCCAGGATGCAGTGCAGGTCTCCAAACTAGGGGCAGGAATGGGGTTCTGCGCTGGAGTGCGAGCTGCACTCCCTTGCCCTGGCGTAGGCCTTGCTGAGCTGCTTCACCTTACTCTGGACCTGCTCCTGGGTCTGGCCCTTGGTGGCCAGACATGCCCTTGGTGGCCAGGCTATTGGCCATCCGGCTGTAGATGTCTGCATTACACCATCTGGAGTGAAGATCCTGGAAGTTTTTCCCTCTCCCCACATCTTGATGAGGACCAGGATCTCCACCCTAGACCAGGACAGTGCACGCCTCTTGCAATGCCTGAGAGGCTCCTGGGACCCATCAGAATGCTCCCTAGGACTGGGCAGGAGGGTTTTGGGGAACTTGAGGGTATGCCATGCTGGCCAGACGATGCGCAGTTGCAGCTGTGGTGTGACTGGAGGCTGTGAGGGCCAGCTTCCTGCTACAAGCCCTTTCCCCTGTGTCTGCTGCTTTAAGAGCTGCAGGAGAAGAGGAACTATCGGCTATGTCTACACTGGCGGATTCTTGCGCAAGAATGGCCGATCTTCCACAAAGTGTCCACACTGCCTGTCTGCTCTTGCGCAAGAAGATTTACAGTAAAGCGTGATAACAGAGGGCTTCTTGTGCAAGAGCTACGCTCTTTTCTAACAAGTGTAAGCTCTCTTGTGCAAGAGCTCTTATGCAAAAGGGCAGTGTGGACACGCGGCAGGGGTTTCTTGCGCAAGAAAGCCCCATGGGTAAAATGGCCATCAGAGCTTTCTTGCCCAAGAAAGCGTCCACACTGCCATGGATGCTCTTGCACAAAAGCACATGGCTGTGTGGACGTGTTCTTGTGCAAGAGTTCTTGCACAGGAACTCTTGCACAAGATGTTGCTGCGCAAGAAGCTGCCATAGCCATAGAGTCCTGAGGAGATGGATGGAGTGGCCAGCAGGGCACCTGTGGGATTTCTTGGAGGCCCCTTATTTTGGAAAAAAAACCTCCCTGTGCCACATCCACACACGCCGCCTTCTGAAATAGCTATTTCGGAATAGGCATTATTCCTCATGGAATGAGGTTTACAAACGTCAGAAAAACTGGTCCATTGTTTTGATTTTCTTTCGAAATAACGCAATTGCTGTGTAGATGCTAGCACTGTTATTCCAGAATAATTATGTAGTGTAGAGGCATCCTAAGGTATAAAGTTTTCATAGAACATAAGCACCCCTAGACGATAACAAGGTGATAAGTAACAGTCAACATGATTTGTCAAGAATGAATCATGTCAAACCAAACTAATATTCATCTTTGACAGTGTAACAAGACTTGTGGATAGGACACTGGCGATGCATGGGTGGTGCACTTGGGGTCACATGCACCCCCCCAAGTTTGGAGTTGCCAGCCAGGCCGGGGTCAGCAGCAGGAGTCGGTTTGATACCCTCTCCCCCACTCACCGGCAGTGGGGAAGACACAGGCCAGGTGGCTCTAACCCATGTGGAGCTGTTCCCTGGCCATTCCACTCCTGGGAGTGCTGGGAAGATACAGGGTGTGGAGGCACGGAGCAAGGGGATGGGAAGAAGTGACGTTGGTACCCCACCTACTTCCCCTGTCACCAGTCACCACTGGAATAGGGGACGAAGCAGTAGATGTATCTTAGTTTTAGCTAGGGTTTTGACACTGTCTCACATGACCTTCTGAAGAGCAAACTAGGGAAAGCCTAGATCAGGGGTGGCCAACCCATTAAACAAAGAGAGCTGAAATAGCAGCAGAAAAAATGCGAAGAGCCGTACCAGAATTTTTTTTTTGAGCAATAATTTTCGTTAAGCAAAAAAAAAAGGACACTGCACCTTTAAAAGACAAGGCTTTTTGGTCACATCAGGCTCCCATCAGCCACTGCCATTTTTGAATCGTCGCACCTGACGGCTCCCCTGTCCCGGAGAGCACAGGTAGCTGAGGGCCGTTTCTAGGGGCACAGAGGCAGCTTCCTGAGACACACTTTAAGCGGGGGAAGAGCCACATGCAGCTTGCAAGCCGCGGGTTGGCCACTGCTGGCCTAGATGAATCTGAAGAATAGTTATCAATGGGTCACAGTCAAGCTGGAAAGGCATAACTAGTGGGGTCCTGCAGGGATCTGTCCTGGGTCTGGTTCTATTCAATATCTTCATACATCATTTGGATAATGGCATAGTGCGTACACATATAGGCTGTGTCTACACTGGCATGAATTTCCGGAAATGCTTAAAACGGAATACTATTCCGTTTTCAGTTTTTCTGGAAAAGGAGCGTCTACAAAAAACTTGCCAGCTTTGTACACTGGCCGCTTGAATTTCCGCAAAAGCACTGATGATCTCATGTAAGATCGTCAGTGCCTTTCCTGAAATACTATGCTGCTCCCATTCTGGCAAAAGTCTTTTTCTGAAAGACTTTTGCGCAAAAGGGCCAGTGTAGACAGCAGAGATTTGTTTTCCGCAAAAAAGCCCTGATCGCGAAAATGGTGATCGGGGCTTTTTTGCGGAAAAGTGCGTCTAGATTGGCCACGGGCGCTTTTCCACAAAAAGTGCTTTTGCGGAAAAGCATCCTGCGAATCTAGATGCGCTTTTCCGAAAATGCTTTTAACGGAAAACTTTTCCATTAAAAGCATTTTTGGAAAATCATGCCAGTGGAGACATAGCCATAAAGTTTACAGATGATACCAAGTTGGGAGGGGGTGCAAGCACTTCAGAGGACAAAATGATCATTACATGCTTGAGAAATGGGCTGAAATAAATAGGATGAAATTCAGTATGAACAAATGCAAAGTGCTACACTTAGGAAGGAAAAATAAAGTGCATCAATACCAGAGGGAAACGACTGCCTATGCAGAAAAACTGCCAAAATATATCTGGGGCCTGTAGTGGATCACAAACTAAACATGAGCCAACAATGTAATTCTGTTGCAAAAAACTTGAACATCATTCCAGGATGTATTAGCACATCTCCTGTAAGCAAGACACAAGAAATAATTTTACTTCTCTGCTCAGCACTGATAAGGCTCTGTGGAAGTACTAGGTCCAGTTCAAGGCACCTCACTTCAGGAAATATGTGGACATATTAGAGAAAGTCCAGAGGAGAGTAGCAAAACAAATTAAAGATCTAAAAAACATAACCTACATGGAAAGACTGAAGAAAAAAAGGAAGTTTGTTTAATCTGGAGAAGAGAAGACAGATAACAGTCTTCAGGTATGTGAAAGGTTGTTCATAAAGATCAGGGTGATAAATTGTTCTCCTTAACAACTAATAACAGGACAAGTAGTAATGGGCTTCAACTGCAGCAAGAAAGATTTAGGTTCAGCTTCCTAAGTGTATGAATAATTAAGCACGGGAACAAATTTCCTAGGAATCTCTGTCACTAGTGATTTTAAGATGAGGTTAGACAAACACTTGTCAGGGATGATCTAGATAATACATAATCCTGACTCAGTCCAGTGAAAAAGTCTATGGAGGTCCCTTCCAGTCCTACACTTGCTTCTGTGATAGGCAAGTATCAGATGAAAAAGGCTATATAAATATATACACACTGCTTCCAAATCTGAACTAGTTGAAATAGATAAAAAGAGTTGCTTTTACACAATCTCCCCACCCTTCCCATTTGCCCAGATCACCATCTCCTTTCCACCAGAGTGAGAATTTCAATGGGAAACAGTCACATGCTTTTTCGACATCTCAGTAATCATTAGCAAATTGAATCCCATTCTCTCCTGTAGAGAACCAGGTTGCCACACACACATTTTCTGACACTGCCCCAAAATCCAGCTGTTCTGATCAGAATTTACAAAACCTTTGACAGACCAGAGAGAATAATAAAAAAAAAATCATGGTCCAATCCTCAGCTGGTGTAAATCAGTGCTGCTCCAAGACTGTTCCATTCCCGGACATACAACCCAAACCTACAAAAAAGCAACAAAAGATATTAACAGAAGCAGCAAAGACTATGACTC